CCGCCATATTGGATCCGCCATTTTGAATTTTAAAAATCTGACATTATTTTCGTAATCAGCGACCTCTAAAACCCCCGAGTAACAAGTTTCATGAAAATTCCATTGATTTTTAGTTTTTTAGTCCGCCATATTGGATCCGCCATTTTGAATTTTGAAAATCTGACATCATTTTCGTAATCAGCGACCTCGAAAACCTCCGAGTACAAGTTTCATGAAAATTTAATACGTACTTTCTGAGATATTGATTTCATCTCCCTTAATTGAAAAAGGGTGTTTTCTACCCTTAAAATGCAAAACGGGCCGATATAAAAAAATACGTGTCAAATATTTTTCGATGTTTTAATACCATGCCAAGTTTCAGAAAAATCGGTGAATGACACTTGGGTAGGGTTACTTGTAAGTTCTTTTCTTGTACAAGCAAAATAAAGAAATTTTGTCTATCAAGCAGCATTCACTAAATTCTACAGTGCACCACGCAACGCAAGCCACAGAGCATTAAATGAGAAAAAGTGCGTTACACATAACGCAAGAGGCACAAGCTTCATACCAAACACAAACGACATTACTTAATATCAATTATTAATAAATAAGAATTATTTAAAGCATTACTTTCAAACATATAGACGAATTTCAAAAGATAAAATCTGTTCGCGTTGCTTGCAATTTTTGCACTAAGCATCTTCGTTTTCTTTCCCTTCGACGCGCGAATATATGTATATTTATCTCACTGTAAGGGCAAAAATTTTTTGAGATGTCAGGCAACGCGAACAAACTTATATACATAAAAAGATTTTTAAACAAAAAACTCAGAATAAAAATTAATTAAAAAGTGAATACTGTAACTGTATGTTTGTTTTTCTCTCTCGAAACATAAATAAAATAAAGAGATCTAAGAATAAAAAAATATAAAGTTGAGAGTATAAAATACAATAATGTAATTACATTTTAAACGAGACTGTTTTCTTCCGTGAAATCGAGGTCTTTCGTATATATGTTTCCAACTTCCTTCACATGACCACGTTGATTTATCAAATAATAATATTTTATTCGACAATATACCATCGGACTTATACAATGTGAGGATTTCTGTTCCATTGTGATTATACATAGCGGTTTCTATGCACAGGAACTCATCCTAAAACAATTTTAATTACATATGTAAAATTAAAACTCACGTTAAAAAGAAGCAAACATTGTTCTATTTCTTTAAATATTGATAAACTTTTAAGCAATAGGATTGTAACAAACTAACGTACCATGTTATACTTATTGGACCACAATTGATAAAGCGGTTTTGAAACACTTCGCCGATCATATACCCTCACGTAGGAAGAATGGCCACTGACGCAAAATTCATTACTATTAGAAGGATTACAATGTATACTGGTTAGACGAACTCGGTTTTGATCTTCTCTTACCACAAGTAATCTGTGGATGAACATAAATCTATATGATTACGTTTATACGGATCAATTTAGAGGGTGGCACCCAATTGGACACGGCTCAATTGGACACGAGCCATTCACAGCACTTGACACTACGAAGCTCCTAAGCACCGGTCGCTGTGATTGGTGGTGTCCAATCGAGCCATGCTCAATCGGGATCACCCCAATTTGGATCCGTTCGGATGCTGAAGTTGTAACATCAATGTTAGGAAAATGACCAATCACAGTCATTCCATTATTCAGAGAAACAGTTATGATTGACCAGTTTTATAACATCGATATTATAACTTTGACGTAAATCGAGCTATATGGCGTAAACGTAGTCTATATTATGAAAGATATGTATAAGTCTTACAAAAAAAAGAAAATAAAAACACTTTTATTATGCAACTCAAATTTGAGTATTGCGGTTATGCACTTGGTCAGCTTATGCTCGTTTCTACTAACGTGGATTAAATTTAATCTGGGTTCGACTCATTTATTCCCTTTTTCTGGTCTTAAGAATTAGAAAAAAAAGCATACGCTGAACCGAAATTAAAATGAATCTACATTTGTAGAAATAGGCATTAAGTCCAGTGCAAACAATGTAAGAATAATTTTAATTGCGATTTAACTTATTTTCTCTTTTTCTAATTCTTACAATTAGAAAACATAAAGAATAAATATTGATCAAAATAACTTAATCTAATGGGCCTTCTACAATAAGCCGCAAGTCAGAACGTCAGAAGTCTTAACCAGTCTTAACCAAGTCGTTCAAGTTAGCTGTGGCCAACTTCATTGATTATGACATAAGATCGCATAGAACTTCAGACTTGCAGCTTATTGTAGAAGATCCATTACATTAATTGAACCGGGCCGTAACTGATATAGGCTGGGTTCGGGGAGACGCTATTAGCGCTATTTGTGTCATTCTATCTTCATCGTCCATTAAATGTGAAACAAGGATAGTATGACACAAGTAGCGTTGATAGCGCGCTCCTCGAACGCAGCCATAGCGATCCAATGATCTAGGGTACCAATCACAAGACTAATTGGCAAATATACACGGGACGATCCCGCGCTGCACTTCGCATACATTTAGCGCCAGACAATATGGCGATTCTTGGTACAAAAATTAATATTCCAAGTAGCACGATGTCGTCATTATGATGACGATTTAAGGTTATTTTTCGTCATTTGACGTTAGTGGATTAAATAATGACGTAAAAGAAACGTACCGTAACATTCATGACGACATATTATCGTTATAAATATATATCGTCATTTTAACGTCATTTTTAGGTCATATTTAATG